TCTCGGCTCACTCACGCTCTGTCCCCAGGCTGCAGTGCAGTGGCACAATCTCGGCTCACTGCAACCTCTGCCTCCAGGGCTCAAGCATTTCTCCTGCCTCAGTCTCTTGAGCAGCTGGGACACAGGTGCGACACCACGCCTGGCTAATTTTTTGTGTATATATATATTTTTCTTTTGAGACGGAGTCTCACTCTGTCGCCAGGCTGGAGTGCAGTAGCACAATCTCTGCTCACTGTAACCTCCTCCACCTGGGTTCAAGTAATTCTTCTGCCTCAGCCTCCCCAGCAGCTGGGACACAGGTGTGCGACACCACGTCCAGCTGATTTTTTTGTATTTTTAGTAGAGATGGGGTTTCACCATGTTGGCCGGGATGGTCTCAGTCTCTTGACCTCATGATCGGCCCACCTTGGCCTCCCAAAGTGCTGAGCCACCGTGCCAAACCTAATTTTTATATTTTTAGTAGAGATGAGGTTTCACCATGTTGGCCAGGCTGGTCTTGAACTCCTGGCCTCATGTGACCCACTCACCCCAGCCTCCCAATGTGCTGGGATTCCAGATGGGAGCCACTGTGCCCAGCCCATTACAACATTTAAAAAACAAACACACTTTCCCTTTTTCCTCCAGGAAGGACAGTGGATGCTGACTGCTCTGTGCCTGGACACCAGCCCCCAGATGGGAACCTCGCTGTGCTACTGGAGCCTGGCTGATGCCTCCAGGCAGGTCAGCTCAGCCACAGGCCCTCATGCTGCACACCTGCTCTGTTGTCTTTCCAAGGCCCAAGTTGCCAAAAAAGTGTCCTGGAAGCTTTGGGTCACTTGCATCCTTGAAGAAGCATGGACCCATCCACCAGCCAGAGCGGCAGCAGGAAGGCTGTGGCCACAGCAGTGAAGAAAACGAAGTCCCACAACGTGGCCCTGACACAGCAGCGTGGGTCACCTGGTCCCAGGACTGCTCGCCTGAGAGTGGCTGACCTTTCCCAGCAGGCCCAGGACTGGCAAGTCTCAGAAAGACCCAAGAGGCCAGAACACCGCTGAGGCCCTTCCCTCATCCTCTCATCTCTGCTCAGTTTGCTGCCTCAGAAAGAGGTCTTCCTCTTCCCAGCTCTCAGGAGTGCTCCACCATTCACCAGGGTTTGTCACCTACAAACCCGGGAGGCTTTCATTTTTCTTTACAAACAGGGGCTCGCTATGTTGCCCTGGCTGGAATACACTAACCATTCACAGGCATGATCGCCGCACACTACAGGCTGGAACTCCTGGGCTCAAGTGATCCTCCCGCCAGTCTCTCAAGTGGCTGGGACCACAGGTGAGTGCGCCTCCATGCCCCAGCTACCCAGGATGCTTTCTGAGCCATTCCTTGTCCAAATCACAGGCCAATCCCACTGGCCCCTTCTCTCACCTCCACCCTGCCCTCTGCTCCTCCTTCACACCCACATCAGAAGGGCACCCCTCACTGAGGGCTCCCCAAGAGCATCCTGAGCACTGAGAAGGCAACCCAGCCACGGGGTTTAGCCCCATCTGGCCTTGTCCCCACCCCATCCTCAGGATGCCCCCTATCCCCCTGCTCTCCTGTTTTCTGAATGCACTGAACCCTGAACACATTCGCCCTGCTTGGAGGAGCCCCCAGTGCTGGTCCCTGTGGATGTGCACACCTGCCCCATGACAACCCTGAGGTGGGCCTAAGAAACCTGTGCCCAGGACAAGGCCCAGCAGCCTTCCAAGACTTGCCTCTAACCTCCATGTAACGTCCTCAGATCTCAAAAAGTGGAAGGAAAGTTTACTTGTAAACCCTGAAAAAGGGCCACTATCAGCTGGGTGAGGTGGCTCACACCTGTAATCCCAGCACTTTGGGAGGCTCAGGTAGTAGATCACCTGAGGTCAGGAGTTCAAGACCAGGCTGGCCAACATGGTGAGACCCTGTCTCTACTAAAAGTACAAAAAATTAGCCAGGCATTGTGGTGTAAGCCTGTAATCCCAGCTACTTGGGAGGCTGAGGCAGGAGAATCGCTTAAACCTGGGAGGCGGAGGTTGCAGTGAGCCAAGATTGTACCAGTGCACTCCAGCCTGAGCAACAGAGTAAGCCCTTCCGAAAAACACACACAACAAAACAAATAGAAAAATACAACAAATTAGCCAGGTGTGATGGTGTGCACCTGTGGTCCCAGCTACTCAGAAGGCTGAGGTGGGAGGACCACTTGAGCCTGGGAGGAGGAGGTTGCAGGGAGCCCAGGTTCCCAACATAGAGTGTGGCCTCCAGCCCCCACCCCCACGCCTCCCTCTCCTCCGCCAGACACTCCTCACAGGCATGGCCTCACATGACCATCATGTTGCCCTGACACAGTGGGAGGGGCAGGGATCATTATTCCTGTTTCCAGATGAAAACACAATCCCAGAAAGCCAGGCCACAGTAGGGAGCCTGGTCCAAGGCCCCTGAGGTCCCACAGATGACCACAGTGCACCCTGGGGTTCTTTGTGCTTAGAGACTCCTTAAGTATTTTATTTGAATCTCATTTATAATATATTTTAAGAACGAAAATCATCACGAAGACTCAAAAATGCTACACCGAAACTTTACCACACTTCTGACAGTACCCCAATCTGTTCCCACTTTGGCATAAAACTTGAGGCCAGGTGCGGCGGCTCACACCTATAATCCCAGCACTTTAGGAGGCCAAGACAGATGTGTCATGAGGTCAAGAGATTGACACCATCCTGGACAACAAGATGAAACCCCGTCTCTACTAAAAATGCAAAAATTGGGCCAGGCGAGGTGGCTCACGTCTATAATCCTAACACTTTGGGAGGCTGAGGCAGGTGGATCACGAGGTCAGGAGTTCGAGACCAGCCTGGCCAACACAGTGAAACCCTGTTTGTACTAAAGATACAAAAAAATTAGCCAGGCGTAGTGACGGGCGAGACTCCATCTCTAAATAAATAAATATCTTTTTTAAAAAATACAAAAATTAGCCGGGCGTGGTGGCATGCACCTGTAAACCCAGCTCCTTGGGAGGCTGAGGCAAGAGAATTGCTTGAACCTGGAAGGCAGAGATTGCAGTGAGCTGAGATCGTGCCACTGTACTCCAGCCTTGGCAACAAGAGTAAAACCCTGTCTCAAAATAAACGGATAAAATTATAATTTTAGATGTAACCCCATCTTTTTCAGGCTGAACATAATACCAAATAGAAGCTTGGTAACAACCTAAACTCCTAACAATTGTTTATACAAAAGTATAAAACGCAAGTGTGGCAGGAGAGGAGCTCTTGAATCTTTTTTTTTTTTTTTAGATTGGGTTTCCCTCATGTTACCCAGGCTGGAGTGCAGTGGCGCGATCTCGGCTCACCGCAACCTCCGCCTCCTGGGTTCTGGCAATTCTCCTGCCTCAGCCTCCTGAGTAGCTGGGATTACAGGCACGCGCCACCATGCCCAGCTAATGTTTTGTGTTTTTAGTAGAGACGGGGTTTCACCATGTTGACCAGGATGGTCTCGATCTCTTGACCTCGTGATCCACCCGCCTCGGCCTCCCAAAGCGCGGGGATTACAGGCTTGAGCCACCGCGCCCGGCCGAGCTCTTCAATCTTACAAGTGTTCATGCACAATACATTTAGTTTCTCTTATTAAAATCTAGGGCCGTTAACAGGGAGAGAGACTGAGTGAGTGCAGCAATCCTGTCCCTTAAGACCGTGTGGCCACACAGCAGGGTCCGTTCTCAGTCTGGGTTTCCCTTGACTTGACCCGGACAAGACTCCCTCCCCCTCCAAGCCCCGTCTTCACTGGCTGTCAGACGGAGCTCCTCCGCCCTGCACCGAGCGCGGGCTCGGTGCTCCCCCGCGCTGACCCTCGGCCCTCAGGACCTCACAATGACAACGGCAAACACCCAGCTCTGGCCCTGACCGTTCCTGACCCCGGGCTGCACGTGGCCGCCTCCCGAGGGCCACGGTGCTGTGAGCCCCTCGTCTCGGCCTGGCAAGCGCCCGCCTTCGGCCGCTCGGGCCGGATTCCTGCACGTTCCACCGACACCGCCGCTACCGCCAGGCCCGGGCCCCGCCCGCCGCAGCCCACCCGGCCCCGCCCGCCCGCGGCCCAGGGGACTTTTCTCCCAGGCTCACGCGGGTCTCCCTCCGCTCCGACCCCGGCGGCTCCCACGCCGCTCAGCAGGAAGGCAGCGGGGCTCCGCCCCCGGCCCCACGGGTTTTCCCCGACCCGCCCGGGCACGCAGCCGAGTGGGGGCGCGGGGCTTCGGGGACTTCAGGGGCCGACACCTGAGCGGGGACGCGGGGACGGGGCGACGGGGCGACGGGGCGACGGGGCGACAGGGCGCGGGGGCGGGGCGGGGCCGGGCCGGGTGGGCCGCCCACGGGCCGCAGGCGAGGCTGGGACCCGCGACCCCGCGCGAGACCCCCGGCCGTGCCCCGCGCTGCTCCGAGGACGGCCGCGCGCGTTCGCGAACTTTCCCGCGCCGGCCCCGCTCGGACTTGGTTTCCGGCCCAGCCGCTCAGAGAAATCCCCCCGGGCCGGCCCCGCCCCCGTCCCGCCGCCTCTCCCGCCTCCGCCCCCGCTCTCGCTCCGGCCCGGGGTCTTCCTGAGAGGCGGCCGCGCCCGCGCCCGACCCCGCGCCCGACCCCGCGCCCGCGCCCGCACCCGCACCCGACCCCGCGCTCGCCTCACCCAACGGTCGCCGCGCGCCCGGAACCGAAGGCCCGCCCCGCCTCCGCCCCCGACGCCGCCGCTCCGCTAATGGACGGAGACGGGAGCCAACCATAGGAAGCCATAGCGAGCGCCATTGGCCAGATCCCGCCCCGCCCCCGACCGCGACTGACGGACTGAGACAGCATCCAACCAGCGGGCCCGGAGGAACCGCAGCGGGCTCCGATTGGTCCGCGCTGAGACGGCCTGTGTGCTTAAGCCGCTCTCTGCTTTGGGCTGGAAGATCAGGCGCTGGTGCGGGGGCCGCGCCACTTGGGTCCACGCGGCTCCCTTCCCCGGGTGCGGCGAGGCCCTCGCTTCCCCCCCGCGGCCCCGCGCGGAGACCCCTGCCGCAGACCCGAGAGGAGAGCCGAGAGTCCGGGCCGGGCGGGACCCGTTCCCACGAGGCGAGCGTCGCGGGACGCGGGGCCCTGCGGGGCGGCCGCACCTGCCGGACACCTGCGGGTCCCTCTGCCTCCCCCGGTGCCGGGCGCGGAGCGGAGCGTCCGTTTGGGTCACATTTATGAGAAACAGGACCAAAAGAAAAAGAATGCTGCACAATTATGTAAGGTACTAAGGATCTGCGGTCTCCTTTTGGGGTGAGGAATATTCTGCAACCAGACAGCGGCGACGGTCGCCCAAGGTGGCCAGCGTGCTGATCCACTGGGTTGTGCACGTTTAGTTTATTTTTATTTTGAGACAGAGTCTCTCTGTCGCCAGGCTGGAGTGCAGTGTCTCGGCTCCCTGCAACCTCCGCCTCCCGGGTTCCAGCGATTCTCCTGCCTCAGCCTCCCGACTACCTGGGATTACAGGCACGCGCCACCACGCCTGGCTAATTTTTGTATTTTTAGTAGAGACAGGGTTTCACCACGTTGGCCAGGCTGGTCTTGAACTCCCGACCTAAAGTGAAAACACAACCTGTGGCCTCCAGACACACAAATGAAAACAGTGTCCTTGGCCGCGAAAACAGTGGCTGTCCTGGGAGTCCTGTGGGCTTCATGGGGGAGGCAGTGCTGTCATCTGCCCAGGAGAAGGGGGCTGCAGCAGGTTCTCTCTGCTGATGCACTGGCTACCACTGAACGTACCACCTCCTCTCCAGCCAGCGTTCGGTGAAGTGGAGACCTTTCTCCCCGCTTTGCAGAAAAGGAAACATTCACCGTGAACAAGGGGCACCCCTGTGTGGCTGGTGCCGTCCCCAGGGAACAAAAAGAAAAAAGGCCGAGCGAGGTGGCTCACGCCTGTCACCCCAACGCTTTGGGAGACCAAGGCAGGTGGATCACCTGAGGTCAGGGGTTCAAGACCGCCCTGGCCAACCTGGTGAAACACCATCTCTACTAAAAATATAAAAATTAGGCTGGGCACAGTGGCTCACGCCTGTAATCCCAGCACTTTGGGAGGCCGAGGTGTGCAGATCACGAGGTCAAGAGATCGAGACCATGGTGAAACCCCATCTCTACTAAAAAATACAAAAATTAGCTGGGCGTGGTGGCACGTACCTGTGGTCCCAGCTACTCGGGAGGTTGAGGCAGGAGAACTGCTTGAACCCAGGAGGCAGAGGTTGCAATGAGCCGAGATCGTGCCACTGCACTCCAGCCTGGGGCCTGGCAACAGAGCAAGACTCTGTCTCAAAAAAAAAAAAAAAATATATAAATATATATATATGTGTATATATATATTTGTATATATATATATATATATATATATGTGTATATATATATGTGTATATATATATATGTATATATATATATGTGTGTGTATATATATATATATATATATATATGTGTATGTATATGTATATATAAATTAGCTGGACACGGTGGTGGGTGCTTGTAATTCCAACTACTTGGGAGGCTG